GCTGGTGAAGTTTAGCAGCCCCCCTGATTTCTCCTGTGGCAGATCCCAGAGCCCCCAGTCAGGAATGGGCTGGGAGCTGCACAGATAAAGAGAAAGGCACGGTCCCTGCCCAATGATCTTACAATCTAATTAAAGACAGGACATGCAGCACACGCCAGAGGGGAGAGGGTACCAGCAAAGGGACGCACGGCTCCATGGACTAGCTGCATACCTCACTTGCCATCTGGCAAGGAATATGACAGGATGGGGGAGGAGAGAATAGATTTGCATTTGGGGGAGGCCCACGTGGCCAGGGGCCTTTCCCAAGGGGCCTGAAAGTGTCTCTTTCCAGCCCCACGTGTGCAAAGCTTTGTTAAAATCCAGTTACGTTCATGAGGGAAAATGCAAAGAAGGCACATTTCCGTGGGAGGAACGTCACTAGCGGACAGTGGTTAATAGGAGTATCAGACAGATATTCCTTCCCCTCCAGCCTGGCTTTTTTTAATCACCTTCCACTGCTCTCTTTGAGCCGCAGGATTAATTCTGGCCCTGGCAATGGGCTGTCTGTTCAGGAGCCAACCCGCCAGCCGCTGGGATTTCTAAAACCGGCCCCTTCTATTTTCAGCTGTTGCTTAAAACCCCTCCAAGCACCTGCTGCTTCTGCTTAGCCAGTCCCGGGGGAAGCTCCCGAGAGGAGATGCCTGGGCACCTGCCAATGAGGTTATTCTTAGAAGCTGATCTTCACTGTCCTGCCCACCATTTGTCTCACCCTCCCGTCCCCCGAGACCTTGCTCCACATTTAAATAAAACTCTTGGGTTCAAGAGTTTATCGGCTTCAGCCGCTCACTTCCCACTCGCTGCCTCCCGATGCCGAATCGTCTGCCCGCCCCAGCGCTGCTCCCACCCGCCAGCAGCTGCGTGGAATGCGCCGGGCGCACTGACGGTGGCTCCGTGCCAGGGCTACGGGGACAGCACAGGTGGCTTCCGGCCAAGCTGACCTGGACAGCGGAGTGCAGACAGGTGACCAGACAGGCCACCTCTGCAGTGGGTGGTGCATTGTGGGACAGCAGCGGGAGGGCTAGGAGCCCAGGGATGGCCCAGGCCCACATTGTGCTGGCCGGTGCACAATCTAAGACAGTCCCTGCCCCAAAGTGTTTCCAGGCTGAGTAAATCTCGCTGTGTCCCTGAGTAAGGCTTTGCCCCTGGCTGGAATCACTGG